GAACGTGGTGAGAATGCAACCAACGACCGCTCTGCGAGCTGCTTGCGTATTCAGATGTCTCATGTTTAGCATCTCCGGTTAGCTGGGGAGACGCTCAACTACGATGGCCCTGGAATGACATTTGAAAGTGATTCTGTTCAATATAAATGTTTCACCATCGCAATCTGCACATTTACGAAGGAAGACGGTTCAACATTAACATAAAGTGGAAGCAAGGTCCAACACTTACACTGCAAGGATGCATTGAGAAGTTGAAAGTTACGTCATTGTTACTGATACTAAGCATGATCAATGGTCGATATTGCAACGATGGAATGTCAACATTACCAAAACTGAACGTTCAAATTGAGAAGTATCAATCTTAACACTGCAAAATTAAGTAACATGCATGATATTAATTGCAAAAGTTGATCGTGCGTTTTGCGAAGGTAAAACAGTTCTATTAAAAAGGTTCACCTTAAAGTGTCTCACGGCCACCGCATGGAACAGGAACCAGACTAAATACACGTACGTACCTTCATATCCAGTGACAGGCGAAGCATGACGTCTATGACGCAAAACGTCCATTCCTGTCCCAAAGAGCTATACACTGTAACGTAGGCCTCACATCTGTACACTATTGTGGCATTACCCTAACCCACTAGGGTGTATGTAAAATCATTATGAAATCTGAGGATTTGGGACTGTTAGGGATGACAACAATATCAGGTTAAGTGCGAGAAACCTTGCATGTCAAGTTGGCTGGTGCATTTGTATGTTGATGCGTGCATAAAGCAAATACCTTGGTGGGCACGTATCACATCCTGAAACGTATTGAAACAATTGCCTTAGTGAAGCTGTTGAACAGATTGGAAAAGTGGATTTAACTATCAATGCTACCCTCATTTCATCACTTTGAAAGAGTTGTTCTTCACGACAGGGATTATTTTGTGCCGGTAGTATATATTCCGGAAGACACGTTGAGAGTTACTTGAATTCGTAAAAAGGCTGGTGATGCAAAACTGATGAATAAACCCTCTAGGGTCCCTTATCTTTGAAAGCTACAGTTCTCAAAATTCTAAAGCGAGGAAAATCACTCCCTCCGATTGAAACATGGGGACAATTAACACAAAGTCGTAGGATAACAGATAAGATTTTACTCGAGTTTCCACTGGAAGCGGTTCTTCGTCAAACCATTTTCCATCTAAATTCAACGTGAACTTTACTCCAAACCGTCCAGTCATTGAACATTGTAGTTCACTTTTCCAGATTTAGAGAGTGTGGGTTGTGTCACTTGGACAGATTTGAACACAAGCTTGAAGTAGCACGTGTTAATTCCAGACTTGAGCCGGTGACATTCTTTCTCAGTGATCAGCCACAGAAGCCGTGGCTGATAATATGCAAACCTTATGCAGTGGCATTGTGAGGCGTAATATTCTTTCTGAGGTACGGGATGAAACGGGACCTACAGCACAATCTGACAGGGATAATGAATCCTGATACCCAAGGTGTAGGAGATAATGACACGACACCATAGTAACCTAATTCTGTGAGCAAGGTGTCACTTACTGTTTCCTGGGGCACCAAGAAACCTAAGGAGACTCGAAAACGAGGTGAAAGACTTGGTGAGTGTAATCAAGTAGGGGTTACAGTACACATATCACGCATCGGTTCCTTTATTGAGTATTGCGTTCCAGTCTGACATTGAACAAATCACCCTGCAGCCTTCCCCCGCTTAATTCAGTCTATATTGCCGTGTCTTCTGTGTTTCATGTTTTAATGGCATTTTTCTCTCCCTACAGGTAATTGCAGCATTGTCATCTTCTCTGTTTCATGTATTAATTATTTTATTCTGTCCCTCTCTACGGGTATATATTCCATCCATTGCATTTTTCTATGATCTCTTCCCACCTTACATTGCCTTTCATGCAGTCTCCTTTATTCTTTGCCCCTTTATCCAGCCTGCAGCTTTCTTGACCTTTCCTTTTGTCCTCTTGCATCCATCCGTGCTTGGTTGATTCCCTGCTTGCTTGCTTGTCATGTCCACTTGTCATTTTGCCTTTGAGAAAGATTCTGCTTGGATCGAAACGTCAGGCCCTCCATATTTTGAGATTATCTCGTTTATCCTATCTTGTTCAATATCTTACTTTCATGAGATAGTTAAATTTGGATTTTTTTGTTATAAGACGTGTAATCGAAAAGTAAACGATAGGTGAACCAAAGGATGAGGGTGGAATCTCATGAACATAAAACCCTCAGTAAGAAAAACAACACACAACAAAGGAAAAAGATACGGTGAAAATGGACAAGGCAGGCCTCTCATAGCTTTTCGAGACCTGTTCACATGGCTCAGCATTTTACAGATGCCCCGTTAGGGCGCCCCCTGCAGGAGAAAGTCATGTACACGCAATGTAGTCGAGGTTGCCGGGAACTCAGCACACCCATGAACGTGAACAAAACGGGACTTACTGCGCGTACGTTGGGGTCGGGGGGGGGTCGGTCGGTCGGCGGTGTTCGGTTAATGCCTGGAAATCCGAGCATGCCGGATAAATGAGACCGTTACACCGGAATCGAGAGAAGACAGTTTACCCATTCCTATTGGTTGAGTATGAAAGCTCTGTAGGCCTATTCCGCTCGACGTCCAGCGCCTGAACAGGGCGATAGGAAGGGCTGATGGTTATGCACCAACCTTGTTCCCATGGGCACGATCTTCCGCTCGATGTTGGTTACCATCATGCCTTGTGCGGTTAAACCCCTGCTATTGTATAATTTACTTTTTTGGATATTTAAATAAGGTCTTTAGTCAGTGTGTTTATGCGATTTACACGTGCAGGAGAATGGGCGCGAGCGTGTAGCCTTTAAAATTGCGTGCGAACGACTTCACGTTTATGTGTAGCCTATTCATTCTGAATAGCCAGTCAGCGTCATTAAGTTTTACTCGACCAGGGGCTAGTGAAGGAACGCACACGCAGCCTTTGGAGTCAAGGTTGGTGCAAGGCCAACCTTGACTCCATGCATGTCGGACTGCACGCTTGTATCAACCTCGACTCCATGGACTGCGTGCGGGTTCCTTCACTAACCCTGGTGATATAGAATACGAAAATGACACTGCTATTAAGGTAGTCTTGGCCTAAGACGTTTGTTATCAATAGTTGTTTTATTTCTGTTGAAGAGCGCACTCGCACAACTAGTTTTTACTTACTCTCACTAACGTGCCAGCTGGCGCACAGTCTGGTCGAGTTCGGGCGGCTTGTTCCTGTATGTTCACGAACAGCTCGATTTGTTGTTCGTGGGTTGGCCGCTCGAACGCCAGGAACAAACAATCGGTTATCGCTGGTAGTTAGTGACAAGCAACATGCAACATGGCGGCGTCCATGTAGGCTACGTTATTCGAGAGTTAATGTTTGGATGGGCTGAATTCTTTTCAATATAAACAGGAACATTCATTTCTGTGTTACGGAAAATAATTGATGTTAATTTTGCAAAACTCCCATTGTCTATGGCTTTTGAAGCCATCTCTCTACTTTTTGCAGCTGTTCAAAAATCAAAA